AAAAAAATCCAAAATAATTAAAATAAGAAAGATATAAGTAATGAAAGATAAAAAAAAGGATATTCGAATTAAAATAAATAAAATTAATTTACAAGAGGACAAAAATAATTAAATACAAATAAATTAAATTAATTTGTAAAAAAAATCCAAAATAATTAAAATAAGAAAGATATAAGTAATGAAAGATAAAAAAAAGATAGTTGAATTAAAATAAATAAAATTAATTTACAAGAAGACAAAAATAATAAATACAAATCAATTAAATTAATTTGTAAAAAAAAAAAATAATAATTAGAATGAGAAAGATAATATAAGTAATGAAAGATAAAAAAAAAAAGATAGTTAGATTAAAATAAATAAAAAATTAATTTGTAAAAAGATGAAAATAATTAGAAAAAGAAAAATATCAGTAATGAAAGATAGAGAAAGACAAACAAAAGTTATTAGAAAGAAAGAAAGAAAGAAAGAAAGAATGAATGAATGAGATAAATATAGAAAGAGAAAAGTAATGAAAGATAAAGATAGATAGTAAAAAGATAGTAGAAAGATAGTAATAGGTAATAAGAAAAAGGTAGAGAAAAATAGTAAAATAGAAATAGAGAAGAAACGATTGGAATAAAGTACAAAACGTAGTGAAACGAATACTAGGGAGATATTCTACGATCACCTTTATCTATTTTCTCTTTTATCTTTTCTCTTTCTCTTTCTCTTTCTCTTTCTATCTTTCTATTGGATTTCTCGAAACTAAACTGGCTGCTTTTAGTTGTTTAAACTTCGACAAAGTTAAACAAACCTTTGGAGCAATAAACGACGCCCATCCATTGTCTTCTTGAAACGTACATTTACACCAAAGGAATAAAGATCAAGAGTAAAAGATATTTAGATAGATAAATAGATAGATAGATAGATAGATAGATAGATGGATAGATAGATTGATAAATAGAATTGCTAAACTGCCAGAAATTATTTGATATATAACTAAAGTTTATAAATTATACATTGAAAAATAATTTCAATTAGGATAATATAATTATTATGGAAAATTCATTCAAATTAGTTTATTTATATTTAAACAAAAGTTTAATTAAATATTTATTTATCTTTATCGAAATTTAATTAGATTTTCTACTAATACTATAATATATCTTTATAAAAATCCATTGAAATTGTTTTTGGAAAATATGGGTTTTTTTTTTTTTTAAATAACTATATTAAAATTAATTTATATTATTTATATTATACTTATATTATTTTATTAGTCTATTAATTTATTTATATTATACACTATTATTATTATATTATTTATATTATACTTATATTATATACTAAATTAATTAAATTATATTTAAAATATATATATATATATATACTTTAAATATATATTAAAATAATATATTTATATATTTTACTGTGTAATTGGAAAACAGTTATATGTGATATCGGTTTTAGTTTAGAAAGTATATATTATTTATAATATATTAGTACACCCGTCATATTGATTTTATGATTATTATTTTTTGATTACTATATATAAAACTATTAAATCTAACCAAATTCATAATCGATACAGTATCCAAATAATAATAATAATAATAATAATAATAATAATAATATAATAATAATAGTTATAGAAACAAATTGAAACTGATAAAGATAAAACTCAAATAAATAAATAAATAAATAAATAAATAAGTAAGTAAATAAATAAATAAAAGATAAATTAATTACCGTAATTCGCATTGTTTTTCATTTTCTTCGAAACAAACGAAAGGATAAAAGCCTTCGTCAGGATAATTTCGATACATTTCCATACAATACTCATGGTGATTATAAATCCTCGCTTGAACATGGTCGAGGTATCCTTTAGAAGTAAGGCTATAAGTATCATTCGGGCCTAAGATATATTTTCCTTGTTTTCCACATGGTACCCCAACCAGTATACCATAACCTTTATAATAATACAAAAAAAAAAAAAAAAGGAAGAACAAAAAATAATTATATTAAATGCATGACCATAAAGTAAATTTCAAATATTTGATCTTTCATAATTTTCTTGTTACAGGAATATAAATAAATTAAATTTCGTTATTTTCAAAATAATCTCAATAATAATAATAATAATAATAATAATAATAATAATAGTAATAATAATAATATTTAATTATATATAATATTATTTCAATATTGTATTGTATAATTTT